ACCTCACCCGGCTAGTTTTTTGTATTTTTTAGTAGAGACGGGGTTTCACCGTGTTAGCCAGGATGGTCTCGATCTCCTGACCTCGTGATCTGCCCGTCTCAGCCTCCCAAAGTGCTGGGATTACAGGCTTGAGCCACCGCGCCCGGCTGGCCCTGGAGTCTTTTGAAAGCTCTGGAGACTAGGATGGCCGCCAGGGTGGAGCGCTCTGGCCTGCAGCAAAGGGGTGTGTGGACCTCTAGGTAGAGGGCCTCCTCTCCCACTCAGCCATCTCCCCCACTCTCCCCTGCTTGGCTCTCCCCTGCCCCGCTCTCCTGGCAGGAGGCAGCTGGGTCAGGGCCTCTCCTGTTCTCCACAGGGCTCAGCAGCTGCTCATAGCCCTCATCCAGGACATGACTCAGCAATGCGCCATCACCCGCAAGGTGAGGCTCCAGGAGGGGCCTGGCCCCCACTGGCGTGGGCTGGAAGAGGGGCTTGGTGCTGGCAGGGAGGCAGGGGGCACCGTGTGGAGAGTGTGGGCTGCTGATTGGAGGAGGGTGACCCCACCTGTCTCTCCTCTGGGCCCCTTCAAATCAGGGCAGGGTCTGCAGCCCCCACCCAGCCTACAGGCTCTTGCACAGTGTAGACACACCTCATGCTGCTCTCAGAGTTTCTGAGTCTCTGCATCACTCCCAGGTCACCCCAGTGCCAATCATCTCCCTGAATTCCCATTCCTCTGCATCAGACACCTTTGTGCTCTCCAGACACGGGACACTTGGCAGGTTGCTAAGCACCTGCCTGTCCGTGCGGTTGCTAAGAACCACGGGACAGTGCTCAGCCAGTCCCCGCCGATGATGCAGGGCTGGGCACTGGGGAGACCTCTGCCCTTCCTCCTGCCTTTGCAGCCTGCCCCTCACTGTAGGGCCCTGCTTTGTGGCTGTTGACCTGAGGACCCCCTCCCCCCTCCCACCCCCTGGCACGGGCCCTGGGCATCCTGGCTGTTCAGTGGGCACAGTCTCATAGTGCAGAGACCACACTGGATTTGCTGATAGGGTGGGGTGTGAAGACAGGGGGGTGTTGGGCCCGTGTTGGTGGCTTCAACAGCTTCTCCTCATCCCTTCTCCATCCCTCCTTCAGCTGTCTTCTGGGGGACCACAGAAGCTGGTCCGCATCGTCAGTATGGACAAAGCCAAGGCCAGCCCTCTGTGTTCGTCGTTTGACAGGGGCCAGCTGGACCCCAGCAGGATGGAGGGTGAGGCCTGGTGAGCTGGCACAGGGGCCGCTGGCTCCGAGCGGGTGAGGGGCTTTCGGAGCTGCTGCTAGTTGGTCAGCTGGAGCCGGGGGATGCCACTCATTTAGGCCAGGATCTGCTCTTCAAGAATCATGGGGCTGGGCGTGGTGGCTCACACCTGTAGTCCCAGCTACTCGGGAGGCTGAGGCAGGAGAATCACTTGAACCCGGGAGGCAGAGGTGGCAGTGAGCCGAGATAGCGCCACTGCATTCCAGCCTGGGCAATAAGAGCAAAACTCCGTCTCAGGAAAAAAAAAAAAAAAAAGTTCAGGAGAGGAGTACAGGGGCCCAGGACAGAGGAAGGGCTGGGACGCTGCGCCCAGGGAGGATGGGTGAGGAGAAGGGTGCCGCTCTCCCAGATCCTATGGAAGAAAGAAAATCCTGGCTTCCGCCATCCTCCCTTGGGCCTAGAGGAAAACAGGATTAAGTTGCAGGCTGCAAAGCGGTGCCTGGAGAGCCACAAAGCTGTGTAACCCACGTGCAGCCAGGGGCTGTGGAACTTGGAGCGAGTCCTGTGTCCGCTGAGCCTGTGCGCCTGGAATTCTAGGTGCTGGGGCTGCTGCAGTGAGCAAAGCAGACCCAGTCCCTCCCAGGGCAGGGTGGGCTGGCCGGGGGCTGCCGCAGCCTCACCCACCCTCAGGATCCTCTCCTCCACAGGCTCCAGCGCGTGCTTCTGGGCCGAGAGCTGCTTCACCCTGGTGCCCTACACCCTGGTGCGGCCCCATCGACCCGCCCAGCCCCGGCCTGTGCTCTTCGTGCCCAGGGTGGTTGGGAAGATCCTGAGCGAGAAGCTGTGCCTCCTCCAAGGGTTTAAGAAGTGCCTGGCAGGTATGCTGTTGCCTGGGAATCCCTCTACCCCTCCCTCCACCCCTCCCTTCCTTCTCCCCTTTCTTTCTCCTCCTTCCCTCTCTCCTTCCCTCCCCCACTACGTGCATTCCCACACTCA